GCCTTAGCCGGTTGAGCTATAGGCGCCGAGCCTCCATATTTTTTGATGGCTGAGTAATACTCCATAGCGTACATATACCACAGCTTACCAATCCGTTCCTGGGTTTAAGGACATTTAGGCTATTTCCACATTTTAGCAATTGTAAATTGGGCTGTGATAAACAGCCTAGTACAAGTGTCTTTATAGTAAAAGTTCTTTTTTGCTTCTGGATATATGCCCAATAGTGGGATTGCAGGATCAAATGGGAGGTCTAAGTTGAGTTCTTTAAGGTTTCTCCACATTTCCTTCCAAAAAGGTTGTATTAGTTTGTAGTCCCACCAGCAGTGCGAGAGTGTTCCTTTCTCTCCACATCCACGCCAGCATCGGCAATTTTGAGATTTTGTGATATAGGCCATTCTCGCTGGGGTTAGATGATATCTCAGGGTGGTTTTAATTTGCATTTCTTCAATAATTAGAGATGAAGAGCATTTTTTCATATAGTTAGTAGCCATTCGCGTATCGGCTTTAGAGAAGATTCTGTTCATTTCTCTTCCCCTATCCTTTTAAAAATAGATAACACATGCACGTATTTCAAAAATCAAAAGTTGCAAAAGAGTATCCAGTTAAAAGTTTTTCTCCCGTTCTTGCCCCATAGCTGCCAAATTTCTGGCGTTTTGTGTATTCCTCTAGAGGTATCACAAAATATTCTTTTTTTTTTTTTTGAGGCAGAGCCTCAAGCTGTCCCCCTGGGTAGGGTGCTGTGACATCACAGCTCACAGCAACCTCCAGCTCCTGGGCTCAAGCGAGTCTCCTGCCTCAGCCTTCCAAGTAGCTGGGACCACAGGTGCCCATCACAACGCCCGGCTGTTTTTTGGTTGTAGCATCATTGCTATTTGGCGGGCCGCGCTGGTTTCGAACCTGCCACCTTAGGTGTATGTGGCTGGCTCCTTAGCCACTTGAGCCACAGGCACCGAGCCACAAAATATTCTTAAGTTCCAGGCTTACTCTGTCACACAGAGGCTAGCAAAAAGCTGTGTTTTGGATCTTTGGTCCTGGTATACTCTGAATCCCTCCTTCCCACTGTCCTTTCTAGTGGAGGGAGAGAAAGTCAGGTGTATACAGCCTGGGATATAGGAGAGCAGGGAAGAAAGTCACAAATTGTCCCTTGAACATGTAAATCCATTGGTGGGTGGTGTAACTCTTGCCAGGGCCTGGGCTGCTGGAGCTAGTTATGGCACTTTGTTTATAGGCACTTTCTTCCCTTGGCTTTTCTTTTCCCTTCTCTGTTTAAGCTCCTTCCACCTAAGGGATGCCCTGACTACCATTGGGGAGAAAGTCTGCCTGGAGGTGAGCAGCTGCCTTTCCCTGTGTGGGTCCTCTCCCTTCTCCACAGACAAGGAGACCGCGCTCAAGGGCCAGATCCAGGCCGTTGCCAGTCCCGATGACCCCATCCGCAGGATCATGGGTATGTTTTCAGGAGGCAGGCAGCAGGGCTGCGCCTTCAGGGGGACTGGGGGACTGGGGATGGACTCCTCTGAAGAGATCTCATTGGATTTTGGTGGGAATAAGAGTGCTGATAGGTGAGGAAAGAGGATGATTAATTATCACAGTGTGATCAGGGCCCCCAAAGGATGGATAAGTGACCAGGCTGCCATCATTGTTCTGAGGGCTCTGACTTTGGAATCACAAGCCTTGGTTCTTAGGGCTTGTTCCAGCACTTACTGTGTAGCTTGGGCAAGTGACTGAACACTTGAGTTTCCTTATCTCTGAAAAGGGGATGGTAACAACAACCTTACAAGGTAACTGAGAGGGCTACCTGGGAGGAGATAGGTAAAGTGCTTACCATAGTGCCTAGTACTCAGTAAAAAGTAGCTGTTATTAAAATAGCTGAATATTAATATCAAAATGTTATTTTAAAAAGAAAATCAAAGGCTCAGCACCCGTAGCTCAAGGCAACATAGTGAGACTCTGTCTCAAAA